GTTTGCTCTCAGGAAAGCCTCTAACTCTTTTTCTTCTTCTTCGGCTAAGCCTGAGCCGAGAAGGAAGAAGCGTTCTTCATCCTCCTCCTAGACGAGGATTTTCTTCAGTGCTTCTTCACTCTTCTCGGCTGGCTCCTTGCCGACATCTTCTAGGACTTCCACATCCTCGTCTTCGATTTCTGCCTTCTCTGGTTCTCGTATGCTGTAGGTAGATTTCATTACTGCCATGGGGCAATTCTTTGCCCGCAGCTGATCTCCTCTGACTTCTTCTATCCCATGTTTTTTTGGGAACCGCAGTAGTTGGTGCAATGTTGAGAGAACAGCCCTCATTGCGTGCAGCCATGGCCTCCCCAGAATTACATTATAAGGGGAGGGTGTGTCGATTACGGTGAACTCTGTCTGTATCTTCTTAGTGCCAGCCTACACCTCCAAGCTCGTTGTTCCCAGTGGCCACGTCGGCGTTCCATTGAACCCGACCATTGGGCCATTGGATTGCTCCAAATCGTCTGGGTGAAGGCCAAGCTCCTTGTAACACCTGACGTACATAATGCCACAAGAGCTGCCTTGGTCGATTAGGATGTGCTTCACTTGGCACTCCCCGATCTGGAAGGATACTACCAAGGCATCATTGTGGGGATGTTTACCAAGACATCGTTGTACGTGTGCTGCACCATCTCAAGGTCGGCTTCAGTAAACGACACTATTAGTCCCTGGCACTCCTCTGTCCAATGTCTCTTCTCCCTGACCTGGTACACATGCTGCAAGTGTTTTACCTTTTGAGTCTCCCCCTTAATTTCATTTTCATTGACCTTCGAGTGGATTACATTAATTACCCGAGGTCCTCCTGCCTGAGGTTATTGTGCTGGGGGAGGTGGAGCTGCTGGTGCTTGAGGCAATCTTGCCTGTTCTTCTCTTGTCCTGGCCTCATCTACAAGGTCCCACAGATGGCCTTGCCTTATCAGGTCTTCCAGGTGTACTTTCAGGGTTCTGCAACCCTGAGTCATATGTCCATCTTCGTTATGGTAAGCGCAATGCTTACCAAGGCTTCTTTCCATAAATTCTCTTGGCACCCTAGCTGGTGCTCTGAAATAGGGCTGGGATCGGATTTTGTCTAGGACTTTGTGAATTGGGATTCGGAACACAGTTGTGACTGCTTGTGTAGCCCTCGGTCCTATCTCTTTGTTGGATCCGTTATTACCTCGGCCTCGCTTCAGCGAGCCGTTACCTTTCTCTTACTTTGTCTCCTTAATTCCTAATGTGTCTTCCTCGGCTCTGGCATACTTCTCGATTCTGGCCATGTGCTCTTCCATGCTTTTTGGCAATGTTTTTGCCAAAGACTTTCGTAGTGGACAGTCGTCTTTTAGGCCATTCTTGAAAGATACGACCGCCACCTCTTGGTTGCACTCGGGTATTCGGTTAAACACCTCGTAGTACCTTTTTGCGTAGGCCTTAAGGCCTTCATCCTTACTGATTCTCAGAGCCATCAATGCGTCCACCCTTAATGGCTGCAGCTTGTTTGTTACGAACCTGGCCACAAACATCTTAGCTAGGCCTTCCCAGGTCTTCACACTTCCCTTTGACAGTTTGTGAAACCAATCCGATGCAATCTCCCCAAAGGATGAGGGGAACATTTTGCAGAGTAATGACTCATTCCCACTATACAATGCCATTGAGTTCAGGTATAATCCAACGTGGAAGTTGGGGTCCGACTTACCATCGTATATTTGGAACCTCAGCATACTAAATCTCTTCGGAGCCTCAAACTTGTCCAACCACTGAGAATGGTGTTTTCGGCTTAACAGGGGAAGTTGCCTCGGCATCGGCATTTTGTTGCTTCCTTTTGAGGTAATCTCTCAAGTCTTCTTTGGTCCGTCTAGGAGCTCGGCTATCTCCTGATTTCAATTTTTTAGGTGCACTGCTCTCTGCTTCGTTGTGAGCCCTCTTCGACCTTTCTCCATTAGTTGTGACAAAGAACAATGCCTGCCCTTGAACATGCCGATTTTCTTTGGGGTCTACTTCCTTGGTGCGATGCATCCTCCGAGATTCCTCCCTCCTTGACTCTCCTCGCCCGACCTCCCTTGAAGGCCGGTGAGAGTGTTTTCGCTCCTGGTGTGCTGGGGGGCTATAGGGATTGGTTTATGCTCTCCCTTCTAGGCATTAGCCACTGGAATCGGCGTGTCCTGCAGCGGGAATGGTGGCTGCATGACGTTATTTTGCATCATAAAATTGACGACCAATTGCAGGTCTGCCAACTTGTTTGCCATCTCTTTCACTTCTTTGTCCCTCCTCAAGCATTTATCCTTCCATACCCGGAGGTCGTCCTTGTTGTAGTATCTGTTTCGATCTGGTTTCTTTGGCACGTCGCCATCCTAGCCGACGTCTTTCTCGCCGTGATTCTGGTTCTGAGTCTCCTCATTGCGACCATCTTCCTCCATATTAGAATCAATGTGCTTACCGTTCCTAGCAAGGGTTTCGTCCCCAACCTTATCCTTCTGTCTGTCATTGGCCATCTATTCTCTTTTTTTTCCCACAGATGGCGCCAAATTGTGCGTGTCAATTTCCGACCACACTGCCAACTTAGTATTCAGCTGGAGAGCACTGGCAGAATAGATGGCGCCAGATTGACCTGCAACAGAAAGAGAAGATTTCGCCGGTGGTTCGTCCACCCGGGGGCACTCCGACGATCAAGTCAGTTATCTCTCAAAGATAAATCAAGTGTTTAACTCACTATTCAGAATATAAATTGTGTACCGTAGACCCATGGGGGTGCCTCTCTTTTATAGCCATCACTAACCTAATCCCAATAGAAGCCTAGCTTCAATGGACTTAGGATTACTGCTAATCTTGGACTCCTAGTAGGATTGGGATAAACTCTCTAAGAGTTTTATTTTTATCCAAACTGAAGTCTTCTCCCATTCTAGGACTCTTGTGCCTTATCTGCTTATCCCGGATTCCGATATCTTCGGAGGTAACCTCGGCCTAGCTAAGATAACCTCAGTGTCATGATCAGGACACGTGGCACCTCGGCTGACACGTTGGCATCACCTTGGCCACGTGTTGGTACTCAGAAAATATATCCCCACATATATTATTTTTATATTTATATAATTCTCTTATGTGTATGATACAAATTTTAATATAAATATTTTGTATGCGTTACTTGTATCAATTTTTTTTTCCCAAAATATGGGTGTGTTTGTTTGGACGGACTAGATAAAGGGGGATTGTAATTTATCAGATTACTAATCGTGGGATATATTGTCTCCAGATTATTTGATTAGACTGGATTTGTATCCTATGTTTGTTCAGTCATGGGATTAGATGTCTGGATTAGACTATTTTTAGTGAATCCAATGTTTGGTTGGACGAACTGGATAAGGATAAATGTTCAAAAGACTTTTTTATCCTTATAATTTATAATTTTTATTTAATATATAATTTTAAATTAACAACACCAAAAAAATAATTTATAAATGTTCAAAAGACTATTTTATCATTTTCCAATTGTTTATTAAGTAATAGCATGAGGGTAAAATGGACATTTTATACATTAATCCCCATGGGATACCAATCTCATGGAAATAATCCCACCACTCCACCTAGGATATAATAATCCCTTATAAAAGGGACTAATAGTCTGGAGGGACTATTAATTCAGAGCAAAAAAATTGAACCAAATAATGGACAAATAGTCCAATCCCATGAAATAATCTCTCAAAACAAACACACTCACATAACTGGATAAAGGGGGATTAGAATCCATCGAACTTGAATCTTGGGATTTTGAATCCCCCGAAATATTTGGTTGGATTAGATATGTATCCTGTGTTTGTTTTTTTATTGGATTAGATGTCTGGAAAGGACTATTTTTAATGAATCCAACGTTTGGTTTGACGGACTGGATAGAATAAATGAATAAAAGACTATTTTATCATTTTTCAATTGTTTATTAAGTAATAGTAATATTAAACATATCTTTAATATTTTAATTATTTTTAGCTAGATTAAATAAAAATTTATTTTGTTTTATTTTTTACACAATTAAATAAATTTATTTTTTTAAATAAAACAAATAAAATATCAATAAATATATATGTTATTTTTTTAATTAAAATTTTAAATAAATTTGTTTTTAAAAATAATAATAATTAAACAATGAAATTAAATAAAACATCTATTAACATTTAAATAATGAAATTAAATAAAATATAAACAAAATTTTAAAATAAAACATCAATAAAATATCTATAAAAAATTATTTAAAAATAAATAAATAAAACATCAATAAAAAGTTAAATAAAATTATTTTATTTTTAAATTGAGATATTTAAATTTTATTGAATTTTACTAAATATAATAGATAATTAAATAGCAGAGGGTCAAAATGGTCATTTCACCACCTAATCCCAACGGTAAATAATCCATCCAAAATTATTCCACTCCCAGGATAGTATAATCCTCCATATGGGGGATAAAGAGTCTGGCCAAATTCCATGTCCATTGAATTAGAAAAAATAAACAAAATTGTTAAAAAAAATGAGTTAAAATGTCTCGCTTATATTTTTTTTGAAACACCTACAAGAACTATTGAATAACTATCTATTTCAATCGGAATTATAAACTATATGAACTGTGAATTTTGTTTTTTAAAATTACTCATTCTCATTTTCATTAGGGTTACGGAGATTTTAGTATATAAATCATCAAAGTCCATTATAAAAATGAGAAAAACAAACAAATAGAAAATTGAATAATTCAATTGTCAATTGTCATTTTCATTAGGGTCAGGGGGATTTTATTAGTACGTAAAATCGTTAATTTTTTTTTTTTTTAAAAACAAACAAGTAGAAAATCTAATAATTCAATTGTGGGTTGCGATTTTCATTAGGATAACTGAGATTTTAGTACATAAATCGTTAGACAAGTAGAACTTGGAGTTCTGGATTAATAAAGATTATTTATTTATTTATTTATTTATTTTTTTCTCTTTTGGTAAACAAATAGACGGAATTTGGGCAACCATGTCTGAAATGTGGAGATAGGTGTCCCTGGCTCAGCCTCAGTTTCATCTCTCTCTCTCTCTGACTTCTTTAAATCATCCCTGCGCCTCATTCACTCTGTGCAGTAGCATACCATGGTGTAACTCTCTTTCTCATGAACTCATGCTCTGTGAATGTTTGTAGATTGGTGGGGATTACTTGATGGATTTTGGGTCTGTGGGTTTAGAGGGTTTGGTGGGTCCAGAGAATCGAGTATCTTCACAGCTTGTTTCAGACCATGAGTCCACCAAGCCAAAGAGCAATAATGGATCTGGGTTTCTCAAGCAAGAGAGATCTAGGTCCGGAGAAGACGACTGGAGGAGCTCCAAAGCAGCCAGAACTGACGATTCTGAGCTACCCAATACATTGCTTCATCTGCAGGGGACTCCTCTGCTTCCGAGATCTAATCCTATGCACTCTTGTAATGATAGTGGCCAACAACAGAACATGCTCTGCTTCTCAGAAGCTCCTTTTCTTAGCAAAAATGGCGGATTTGCTGAAAGGACCACTCACAACAACTCACCCTTTCGTTACTACGCAGGTACAGTATTATTTTCCCCCCAAAACAGAACAATACAAGTTTTTGTGTTAGTCTTGTCAAGAAATAAAGTTGATATCATTCTCTCTCTCTCTCTCCTTTGTTTTTTTTTTTTTAAAGAAATAAAGTTAGTGTTTTTTCTTCTTTTAAATGGTCTTTCTGTTCTGTTTTGGTAAGATTTGGGTCACACCAGAACCAGATTAATATGAACAAAAAAGGGTAGAGACATTTGATTGGTTTTCACTCTCCTCTCACTTCTTTATTGCTGTATGATGTTACTTCTTTCTTATAAATGTTGAAAGTGTTTCTAGGTTTTGGTTCCCCTGTTTTTTAATAGTTTACCTCATTTGTCATCACTTATTGTTTTAGGGTATGGCTCTGGAGGGTTGAATTCAGGCATGCATACCCCTGTTTTGGGGACTAGAGGGCCATTTACTCCATCTCAGTGGATTGAGCTGGAGCACCAGGCCTTGATCTACAAATACATTATGGCAAATGTACCTGTTCCATCTAATTTGCTCTTTGCACTCAAAAAATCCCTTGACCCATATGGGTTATCTGGGTTGTCTTCTGGATCCTATGCCCCCAACTCATGTAAGCATTTTCTCTTCCTTGAAGTTCTCACACCAGAATGACAATGGTTTCTCTTGATCAGATGTGCAAATTTTCTTCATATCATGTGTGACGGTTGTGTTAGATTAGCAAAACTTGTTTTAAAAAGGAACTCGGTGTAAATCTCTAATTTGTAGTTCAATTTCGAGGACTTCATGCTTGCATATATTGGTGTGTAACATTTTACTTGTATGGCTCACTTGTTATTTAATTTTTAGAACCCATTTTGTGTTTTGTCATATACACTCATGTTTCTAATGCTCCATAGCCTTTTGCTTTTAAAGCATTTATGTCTTGTCTGCAAGGATTTATTTTCCCTTTTTCTTGTTCTTTTTTTTTTGGGTAAAAAGTTTATTTTTGTGCTTCTAACATACTGGTTTTGATGAAAAATTCACTTTCCTTTTCACCCCATTCAGCTGATTTCTGGCATTTTTGCTTTTGTTTCTTCTTTTTTGTTTTTGTGGTTTTTTTTTGGGGGGGCTCTTTCTGGTCTATGCAGTTGGAAGGGGTTCTTTCCATCTAGGTTTCTCTGGCAACACTGACCCTGAACCTGGGAGGTGTCGCAGAACGGATGGAAAGAAATGGCGGTGCTCGAGAGATGCTGTTGCTGATCAGAAATACTGTGAAAGGCACATCAACAGAGGCCGCCATCGTTCAAGAAAGCCTGTGGAAGGCCAGACTGGCCAAGTCGTCTCTGGATTCACTACAAAGGTGGTGCCGATTGCTGGTTCCACATCAGCATCGGCAATGTCTAGCAGTGGTGCATCCAATAGCCTTGGTGTTGCTGTGCAGCACCAGTTCAAGGGCTTGCGGCCTGATGCTGAGAAGAACCCTTCTGCAGATGTGCTTGTCAATAGGTAAAGGATTACCCTTTTTGGATCTGATCTTCCGTTATCAGTTTACTCCACATTATCCATTTTGAGTTTTTATTAGGATTGATATTAATTTGAACTCTACTTTCTTGCTTTTTCTTTACTTAAAAGTAGGGACCCCATTGTTTCATCTTTTACTTTTGTGAAAATGACTAGTCTTTAGTAATTGAGACTTGAGATTCCTTCTCTAGGATGGCTTCATTATACCTCCCTTGTCTATTATGTTTCATGGTACTCTTTTATTTCTCGTATAGTACTCATTTTTATATGCATATGATAAGGGTTAATGGTGTGTGATGTGTTTGACACCCGTGTCCAATTTAGACACTTGGATTTTCTAATTTTTTTTATGATGTTTGTAGAAGAATAAACTCATATTTGCTAGTAGAGAAACATTTCTATCATATAACGTGGATAAGAGAGATAATTGTTTTGTTTTTTCCAAATCATATTTAATTTCAAGTATATTTCTACATAATTTATAACATCATATATGACAGTGTTATACAATATGCAATATATGTATCTTTGACATTTTGGATGTATATCTCAATATGTTAAGATTTGAGTTTATGAAGGTTTACTTGGCACACACTTGACTTGCATCCGACATATGAATCCTTGTAACTTAGTCTGTCTAGTTTCCATGGAACAAGGTTTTATGTAAAAATCATAAAGAGTTTTTCATCTCTCTCTCATTACTACTTGTGACTTTGACTCTTTCCTTTACCTTTCCTGCTTCAAATCCAGCAATGACGGGAGTCTCGTGCACTGGGACAACTGCCCTTCTGTGCCCTATACCCATTTGAGTTTTATTTATTTATTTATTTATATACTACTTCTATGTTTTACTAACAAAAGAGAATATATGTGACAGAATGCAAGGTCCCCAAGTCCTCTCTATGGTATCTACTACCACTAACCTGAAGTCTAAAGATTCCCCATTCTCCATTCCAAAGCAGCATATCCCAAATGAACAATTCTCTTACTCAGAGTTTGGACTCGTCTCTTCTGATTCCCTACTCAATCCTTCACAAAAGAGCTCGGGGAATTCTAGAAACTATAACTCTATCCTGAATTTCAACAACCATTACTCCCATGACCAACATCTTCCACTTCACCATTTCATTGACGACTGGCCCAAGGGCCAATCCAACCGTGCCACCGTTGCCTGGCCTGAAGAACTAAAACCAGACTGGACCCAGCTCTCAATGTCGATCCCTATGGCGTCATCTGATTTCTCATCAACCTCAACATCATCCCCTCAAGAGAAAATTGCCCTCTCACCACTTAGGTTATCTCGTGAGCTTGACCCAATCCAAATGGGTTTGGCGGTGAATAACAATCACCTCACTGAATCAACCCAAAAGGGAACAAATTGGGTACCTATATCTTGGGGTAGTTCGATTGGGGGACCATTAGGAGAGGTCTTGCACAGCAGTTCTAGCACGGTGGGAGCTTGGAAGAATTTGTCGGATTTGAACCTCACGAATCGGTGGAATGGAAGCCCGCAGTTGGGATCTTCCCCAACAGGGGTCTTACAAAAGATGACTTTTGTTTCACTTTCAAATAGCAGCTCAGGCCTAAGCAGTCCAAGAGTAGACTACAAGAAGAGCAATGAAACTGGTAGCCTTGGTGATGATATTCTTGGTTCAACTCTTGCAAGTTCGTTTCCATTTCATCGTTGTAACGAGCGTGTGACTTGAGCAAGAGAAAGGTGGAGACAAAAAAGGAAAAGCGAGCAAGTTTACAGAAAGTTGATGGAAGAAGGCTGAGGGAGGTTAGAACACCTCAATTAATTTCCATAATTTTCTTGTCTTGTTTCTTTTTATAGACTATAGTTTGCAGATGTTTTCAAAAAGTAGGATTTGGCTGATTTTAGTGAATGAATATTGGCCATTTTAACTCTTTTATGTGTGTTAGATTATCCATAGTTCATGAACAATACAATTAATTTATGTTTATGTTTCAGTGTGATCTTATCTTTTGATAGTTTCTCTGCTTTCCTCAGTTATGATTGATATAATATTTACATGGCAGATTCTGTAATAAAAATAATATTAAAAAAAAAACGAAATTTTGATGGGGACATTAATTGGAAATGCCTTGGCCAGTGTTTTCAATTTGAGATTTTTGCACTGATGAGGTTTTTTGTCTTAATAAATGTTGGCATATCATACAATTAGAAATTTCTCATTTTCATATTTATATTATTTAGAAAGTCTCAAAAATTCCAAAAAATGACTTGGAAAATGATATGTCAGTGTTCATCTACTATGTGGAGATCATATATGTTTTTTATGATATGATAAAACACATGTATGCCCTATAAAATCTAAAAAGCCCCAAAACATTTGAGATAGGTTCTGAGGAGGAGGAGGAGGAGGAGGAATATTTTTTGAACATGATCAATCAATGCAACCTCCCAAGTACCCACATGATGATGATGATGATGGACCTCTCCCCTTCCATTGGATGGAGGGTTTGAGATTGAGAGAGTCCCCCTTGCCATGCATACTACTGTCAGTATCTGCTCATTCTGAAAAAGTGCCAAACACAACAAAACGTATCTTCCACTTCATGTTGTTATATACATATACACAAGCCCAGCAGATTGTATACTTGAGCAATTGCCATTCATATTTGGTTGCTTGTTATAAGATCATATTCAACAATGTAGAATGAAATTCATATCTTAAATGAATCTGAATTATACAGTAAAAATTTTTGGTATTAATTTATGAACGAATTCCGCATACGCGATATTACTCATGTTTTAAATCAAATTGGATGGGAATTGGTTGAGTGAGAGATAAAAAATAAGATGATCTCATCATTATACATAAAATGTGAGCGTGAATTAGTCATAATATTCTTTGGTTTGGCGCCTAGGTGGGTGAGAGGTGGAGTGAGATATTAAGAATTGTATAAAATACCTTGGCATAACGTATCGTAACTTGTCTTCTAAAATAATTTATCACATTTTATACTCACAAATGATTCATAAATTTTTTCACCACATACATAAATGACGTAATTCAAATGGTTCTTGAATCTTCACTTTTTGCACTTTTACACACATTAATCATGCTAGAGACTACTAATTTGGTGGCTCTAAACCCACCATTAATGAGGTGGAAAAACCAAAAAAAAAAAAAAAAAGCACAATACAAACTGTGACAGTGGGTACATCATTAGTGGTAGCTCTAATTAGAGATCCCACTCATTTTCCTTACACACATTTTACAACTTTTGCCATAAATTAGTATAATATTTCTTATGATTGAGGTGTTCACTATATATATTTGTATTATGAAAATTTATTTTGTTTGGTTTGGGGAAACAAAAATGTTTATCCTTTTTCCAACCAGTGGTCCCATCCCACCCACGTTTAGAAAGGACCTGATTTGTTGTTCATATGATATATCACCACACAATTATGTCCATCCATGTTGTTGGTACGAGGTGACAATTCTTGTTATTGGTTGTGGCCATCACTTGTTAACATATTTTCGGCAACTGAATTTTTATAGTAAAAGTTATGTTAGGCTTTTATCGGCGGTAATCACATAATAATTTAAACAAAATAATTAAATAATTATAAAATTAGTTTGAATGTTTAAAAAGGATGATAATTTTTCTGAAACAACTGACAACTATAAAATAAACAGAGTAACAAAGAGTAATTTCAAAATAAAATTATTAAAGTTCACTGAGTTACCGACTTACCAAGTATAATTTTACAGAAAAAATTACTCTTAAATTACAGAGCTACTTTAAAGCGTAAAAGTCATGTGTTATTGTGATGATGATGCCCCCTGTTTGATCTCCCTAAGCCTATAAATAGGCTCAGTCCACAGTATATAAAACTGCCTAGGTAGTTTTCTTCCACTCATGCACATTGCCACAAAAGGAGGTGACAGTTGAAGTTAGTGCACATCCCTTACGAAATGTTACAAACTTTCACATGTTCCAACTTCCTTTAACCACTTGATGTTTTCCATGGCTCCTGCACAAAACATAATAACAATAATAATAATAATAATGTAGCCATAATAGATCTTTAAAGATGGTTCATAATCTAAATCGACAGACTAAAATTGATTGGTTACAATCAATGAGAATGATCAACAAGTCACAATCAATAAAATTAGATTTGGTCACAATCGACTGGTTATAATTGACAGAAAACAATTTATGGTGCAAACAATACCCCCTAACTTTTCAAGAATGAGAAATCTCGAATTCTTAAAAAGTTGTATATGAAATTGATTTGGCATTTGTCAAAAATCATATTCAAAATAAATCTTTTTACTAACCAGCAATGGTTATAAAAATGATTATTGCAAGCACATGTTAATAAGAGAGCCACCAAATTCTTGGCCATATTATAAATGTACTGTGTATCCTCCACAAATGTAGTCCAATATAGGCCATGTATGACTGAATTTCTAAATTAGTAATAAATTGCTTCAATCGATAGTTTACTTACACAATCGACAGAGCAATGTATGAACCAAGTGTGAGACCAAGAGTTGGCCTATTATTTGGAGAACAATGTTTGAGGGTCACAAAAACAGTGGCTCAAATAGCTCAAAACTGCCAAAACGATGTCGTTTTGGGAGCAAAACCTGCAAAAATGTTTGAGGGCCACAAACACAGTGGCTCAAATGGCTCAAAATTGCCAAAACGATGTCGTTTTGGCAAGTTTTGCTCCCAAAACAACGTCGTTTTGACAATTTTGAGCTATTTGAGCCACTGTTTTTATGGCTCTTTACCATTGCTGTTATTTGGAGCAAAATAATCTTCCAATAGTGGCACTGGTAGACACTCTCCGTTTAGGAAGTTGTTTGGAGGCTTTTTTTTGGCTAAAATAGCTACAAAAAACAAAATAGGCTTTTTAGTCCGATAAGACAAAACATCACATCCAACCCATAATCATTACTTTCTTTCTCTCACAAAAAAGTCAAAAAAGCCAAAAGCCTTTCTCAAACCAAGCTTTTTAGCCCCAGGCTAAAATAGCCAAAAAAGTCAAAAAGCCAACCCACTTCCCAAACGAGCTCTAAGCATTAAAGTAAACATTTGAAATTTTAGTTTATTTTATTTTCTAGCACTTTGAAAATGGCTAATCAGGAAATCACAATTTGCAATATATTTCTACAACTTTCAGGACTTCTCCTGTTAGCCATTTCATAAAAAATAAGCTTTGATGTGATTCACAAATCTAAAAAAGATTTTGAATAACAAAAACCATAGATGACCTTAAAAACTCATACATGTTGACATCTTGAACAATGTCAAAAATTTTAAATTTATGAACATATGGTTGTTCATCATTTTTAGCCATATTTGGCTTAAGATCACACTTCTTTGGTTCCCACATTAATGGGTTAGAAACATTTTTTGAAAATTCAGAAAAATATTTCTCCTTTGTGAAATGGGCCCTTGCCATGGAATATTTATTCTCATGGCCTTTTGTTTTTTCACCCATAACAATTAATGAATTAACTTTTTCATCAGTCACAACCTTTAAAGGCGTAAGAAGAAGAGCTGAAAAATCACAAATTTTGGTTTCTGTAAGAATTTTCAATGTTTCCCTTCCTTGACAAATTTCGATATCAAAATAGTCATTTGATCTCCAAGTTGATCAATCACTTTATCAAAATAATTTCATATTTCTAACCTCAAATAATATGACAATGGCTTTATTGTTTGAAATTTTTGTCAATCAAGATAATCAATTTTTTCTTGTATATATAAAATTTCATTCTCACGCCAATGCATTTCATCTTCACAAAACCAAATCATTTCATCTTGCCTTCGAATTCTTATCATCATTCCAAATTAGGAAGATGTCCCACTGGGCATGCCAAAAATTGTTAATAAAAAGTATGCTAGGCCTTGATCGACAGTAACAAAACAATAATTTAAACAATAATAATCAAGCAACTGTGGAATTAGTTCGAATGCCTTAAAAGAATGAGGACTTTTTTGGAACAATTGACAATTACAAAATAAACAGAGTAAACAAAGAGTAATTTCAAAATGAAACTACTAAAGTTCACTAAGTTACCAAGTACAATTTTACAGAGAAAACTACTCCCAAATTACAGAGCTATTCCTAAGTCTAAAAGCTAAGTGTTGTTGTGTTGTTGATACCCACTCTCTCTGTCAAATCTTTGGCTTTTGTATATTCCTTCTCTTTCCTTGGTCCATGATCCCATTTCCCTTGGAAACTGCAGGACACTAGCCTCCAATTGTTGCTGTAACTTGTGACGCCCCAAATTTTTGGAACATTAAGGGAAATTAAATAAACAAAACGACTTAATAAATCAAAAAGTTGACATCTTAATTAGACATTCCAACTCTCGTACATAATCAAATGTTCAAACAACAATAAATAAAAACTTAAAATTATCCAAATACAACGTCAAATGAAATTATAAAGTCCTTAATAGCTATTATATAAAATAATAAAATTTAATCAGCTCTAATCAGTGTTTCAAGTTAGCCAAGGCTCTACGTTAGCGTCAACTCCATTTCAGCTTCAATTATTTCCTCTCCAAAACCTGGCATAAAATGCCAGGGCAACAAAAATATATGCCATGAGTTTTGCAATACAGTAAGAAAACATAACCAGCTTACCATTCTTTTTAAGAGAAAAATAATAAGATTATAAACTTGAGATAACAATATAATTGTAAACATAAATTACAACTATTAAAATAATTTCAACAATTTTAATAAATTAGGTGACACTCGAAATCTCACCAAAGAGATTTAAATTACCAACCACTAAGCATGACAACGGTTAATTTGAAACCCCTCTTGGTCAAATATACAAGTGTAACCAACCGTAACTACCAGAGATGCTCACATCTGGAGTTATATACCCAAGCAGTGCCATCCGTGATCTGCTCCAAGGAAACGGTCTGCCAGGGGTACGTAACCTCCCTGTGTGCCACCTGCACATCCACCCTTATTCCAAAACCGAA